ATCCGCAGAGCAATAAAAATAAATTAAAACAAAAAAGGAAGGAAGAAGAGGAGGAGGGGCCGGAAGGTGCGTAGGCTGATTAGGGATGCAGCACGCACCGCCCGGGAGAGGCGGCAGGGTCGACTTGTTAGGGTAGCAACCTACAATGTGCGTACACTGGCCGTGAACGGGGCCAACGGCTATGGGAGAGCCGACAGCGTCTTACACGAGGCAGCGAAACAGGGCATTTCGTTTGTCGGTCTGCAGGAGGTCAGGAGACCAGGGCGAACGGAGTTCGCAGCATCCGGTTTTCGGGTGTTCACCTGTGGCACGGACAAGGGTGGTACGCATGGCGTCGGAATCGCTGTGGAGGAGACGCTGTGCAAATCCTCCCAGTACACCACGGAGTACGTGGACGAGCGCCTCATGGCTATGAGGTTTGAGATGATGGGCCACCGCGGAGCGGTGACCTTCGTGGCTGCGTATGCCCCAACAGACGTGGCCACCACCGAGAGCAAACACATGTTCTGGGAAAAACTTGACAGTCTCGTGCGTCGTACCCCCGCTAAGGAGTATCTTTTCGTGCTCATGGATGCCAATGCCCAGACCGGAGGAGGGATAGCCGGGGAAAACGAAAGAACCATGGGCGAGTACGGGCGCAATGAGCTGAACGACAACGGTCGGCTGCTGCTGACCTTCGCCACAGACAACAGACTAGCGGTCCTCAACACCTTCTTCGACACACGGAAGAGCGGGATATGGCATACGTTCAACGGCCCGTCGGGACGCGAACGTAGGTGCCTCGATTACATCCTGACGCGCCAATCACACCGCGACCGAGTGTCCAACATGGAGGTCGTACCTCAGCCAGTGCGCCCAGTCAGAGCGGACTCAGACCACAACATCGTAGTAGCCACCGTCGACCTCGGTGGCCGGCTGGCCCACAACCGACCTATCCGGACAAACCCCAAACGGCGGCAGTTCAACCGACAGGATCTGCAGGTCGAGGCAGCGCGATGGGCGGTGTCCCAACGGTTTCTCTGCAACTTGCTCGCGAGGTCGGGCGCGCCGGCGACCACCGCTCAGGAAATGGCGAAGGAGTTCACGGAGGCCCTGCTTGGCGCGGCGGAGACGGAGCTGTCTGAGGAACCCCGGAGGCGGCGCACCCCGGAATGGAACATGACCGCCGCGGCACGGGCAGCCCTGGCGACCGCCCTTGACAAGCGACGGGCGGCGCGGCATGCCTTCAAGGCCAGACCGAACGCAGCAACGTGGAGGACCCTCAAAGCAGCGTGCAAGGGGGTGAAGGCAACAATCGCAACGAGCGTCTATGACCACCTGGAAGGGTACGTGACGGAGCTCGAAGCGATTTATCAGGACCGCGACATGCGGGGGCTGCACCAACACCTCAAGCGATCAACGGGCCTCAGCGGGAGACAAGCTGGGGGGCAGCAGTTCGTTACAGATGAGAACGGCGTGCTGCTCCGGAACAAGAATGCCATCCTCAAGCGGTGGCGGAGATTCTTCGATACCCTCCTGAACTCCAAGTCCCCCACCCTGAACCCAGACGTTGTCGAACAGGTGACGCAGCGACCAGCGACGCGCGCCATCCGACACCTGGCGGCGGTACCAGACCTCGAGGAGATTGAGGTGGCAACGAAAGGTTTGGGGAACTGGAAGGCGGTTGGCCCCGACCTCCTTGCCGCCGAACTGCTCAAGGTCGACGGCGACGACGAGCCCATTGTCCTGGAGCGCCTCCGTGCCATCTTCGTCGAAGTGTGGAATGGGGGAGAGATGCCGCAGGAGTGGAAGGATGCATTCATTAAGGTGTTGTACAATAAGGGTGACCGGACGAACTGCAACAACTTCAGGGGCATCTCGCTGCTCTCGCATGTAGGCAAAATACTCGCCAAGACCATCACCAACCGCCTGAGCGCATTCTGCGAAGCCAACGAAATCCTCCCGGA